ACCAATTTATTTTTTGTGTAAAAATACGTTTTATTATTTATCAATATCTATGTTTTTATTTGACAGAGTAGAGAGATAGAACAGAAGGATCTACATCTGTAATCACTGGAGAAGAAATAAAAGCATTTGCAGGAATTTTTGGTTGAACAAATTAAAAAGAAAATAAGATTGTTTGAGTCCTAAATACTTGGAATTAATATCAGTCCCTGTACAACGCCATGAATATTTGCATGTTATTGTTAATCATTTTTATTGATATTGGTATTGTGAAACAAAATGTCGTGATATTTCACTGTATGGATATTTAATTACAGTCCTAATAGTTAGAACTTTTATAAGGTCACTGGTTCAAACCCCCCATTTCTCCCGTTTTGTTGGACAGATCACCACAGGCCCCCATTAGTGTTAGCATTACTGTGATTAGCCTCATTTTCTCACTCTAATGTTTTTAATGAATGGACGTCCGAGTCAATGCAGCACAGAAAAGGACTGAGCTGCAGGAGATAAATGAACGCGACGCCACGGCATCAATAAAAGCTTCTCAGAACTGTATCAGACAAAGACGTCGCCATCGATGTTGTGCAGGAAAATGTACATTTTTACCGTCTTTCTCAAGATAGGGTTTGAATAAAATACTGAATAAAATCCCTGCGTTGTTAAAGACAACATGGACGAAGTGTCCACACTGTGACTGAGGAAATACAACTGATCTGATCGATTTGGATCTGTCCATAAAACCCAACAGAACTGTGACCGTGATGACAAAGCACGTTTTTATTCCTGTTCCTCTTTTTCCTCCTCCTCAGTCTGTACTTGTTGTACATGGATAAAAGTTAGTTCCTCCCTTCTCTGTGCCAGATGTTGTTGTGTATTTACAGTATGTAGGTCAGCAGACAGTAGTGAAGGTGACGAAGCACAGCCTGGAGAAGATCCCATGAGCTGAAAATGTCACTGGAAATATAAATACTCCAAAGATGAAGTACCATGTGTGGGGCTCTCCTGTCACTTCACTGCCAAAGTGGTTTGGTTTTTTTTAGGATCCAGTGAACTGTATTATTGCCAATACACGACCCTAGTTTACACTGTGGTCTATACCAGGGGTCCCCAAACCCTGGTCCGGGGTACTGGTGACGGTCCATTGGTACTTTGGTACCTGGTCGCAGGGGGTACTGGTGACGGTCCATTGGTACTCTGGTACCTGGCCGCAGTAAAAAGTATGTAAAAAGTAAAAAAATGTACTTTTTTTAACTAATTTTAATAATCCAGTCCATATCCCTTCACTTTTTTCATTCAAAGATAATCTGTCAATGTTTTAAAACTACAGGTCAAAGGTCATCCAGACTCTGGTACTAACAGAAGAAAGTCTAAAAGACGTTTCATTTCAAAAATGTAATGATCCTTCAACATCAAGTCCAGTCCGACTTCCTGAGCCTCACAGACTAAAATCTCCTCATTCCCATCACGTGTGAAGTAAAAAGGCCGACGTCATACTTTCTACCCTTCTGTTTCAGGCCGATCTCCAAAAAAAAAAAAAAAAAACGCCTAATGAAAAGAGAATCTAAAGTGATTTATTTGAACGTTCACATCCATCCGGTGGCTCTCCATAAACTCTGCAGCAGAAACCGTAATCAAACCCATGCAGGCCTGAGCAGGAGAATGATTGCCACTTCTCAGAAGACGCAGAGAGAGAGCGAGAGAGAGAGGGAGAGAGAGGAAGGATCGAGTGTCATCAGAAGTACCAGATGTGAGTCAGAAAAGGAAGATTTTTTTTTTTTTCGTTTTTTCTGCGGCCACTTCTTTCTGTCAAACACTCTGGAGA